TGTCTTCAATATATTTCTAAAGAGGAAACAGCTCTCTGGTTCACGATTGTAAACTATATTGGTAATAGAAGGATAACGATGAAGAATGTTTTGAACAGGCATATTTTCCAAGCATTCAGATTGTTCAATTTGACAGCCATTCAGATTACACCATGCATGTGCACTGAACTGATATTTCAATTTAAAACTGCTTAAGATATTTTTAAAAACACATATAATAATAATGCACTACAAGCTGTGTTGTGTCTGGATAGTACCAGAAGCAATTTTCTTTGTAGAGATGTATACAAGCACTACTGGGAAAGGCAGTTACAGTAGGGGATAACAGGGGATTAATGTCTATGTTGTTCTTTTATGCTAGAGGACAAGAAGAAATAACCTGTTTTAACCAAGAACCCCAAAGCAACACAATATGCAACAGTTGTCAAAATTAGTTCAAGTAGGTAGCTGTGTCAGCATGCGTAGGCTCCACAGGAACAATTAAAGGTTTAAGTTTATTCCATGCTAAAAAAAGAAGAAAAGAAACACAATGGTTTGGCTGTGGAGCCAAAGGCTGTGTTTTTTTGTTCTCTTTTCAGCATGGAATAAACCTAAACCTTTACTTGTTTCTGTGTTGTCAAAATATACTCCTCAGCTGAGATGTCCATTCAGCCCCTTACAGAGCAGGTGAATCCTAACAATTCAAGACCATCACAAGATGAGCACTAGTTTGATTGACTAGCTAGTATTTAATTCAGAAGAAATTAGATTATCTCCAGATGATTGCGCTGTAATTCACTGAGCCCTTCCTGCTGTCTTAAAATTTCCCTTGAATTTGGATTACACTAGTTGTGCTAGTAATAGGTAAATATTTTTCTGAAATATTTATTGTAAATGTAATTGGCTCCTATTGGATCTGTTGAATGGGTAACTGAATAAAATCAGAAAAACTCTTTGCGTGAAGATATCTATAAAAAATAGTGTTTAGAGGTTCTCAAAATACGAAAGTTGGTTTAAACTAACCTTCAAATTAGTTCATTTTTGTCTAATAATTCAAAATCTGTCCAAACTGAGTTTAATTAAGAAGAAAGATTATTGACAATTGTTGTACAAAACATGGACTTTTATAAATTTTTACTTTTTAAACCTTGTTAGTGGATACCATATGGAGTTAGACCATCACTATTTCGTACTGTATACAAACTTCAAGCTTCAAACATGTTTGAATTGTCAAAATGTTTATACATAAACATTTATTATTTTCCAAGTTTTTTTCTTTTACTGCATTTTCAAACTTGGGTTTCTATATTTAGAAGTAAAAAATATTGCTAACATTTAGGTTAAGTCCCTTCAATTAATGTTATACTTGAATTATGTTCAGATAAAGGCACCTCTTTTCTATCCAAAGGAATGTTTCTCTCTTAGGATGCCCAGTTTAAAAGCTTGAGCTCAACTCTAAAGGTTAGATTCAGACAGAGGAGCTGGGAGTTGTTCTTTTTACTAGTATAAAACTTTTTTAAGAGTTTACTGAAATGACTGCTATTTGAACAGTGAATTTTAGCAGTGAAGCTTAAATGGGTGAAAAATCTGTACACAATATTGACATTTATAGATTCCTTACTGTGTGGTTGATTTAGCCTGACATTCCCAATTTTGGATTTTTCTCCTTTGAAGTGATGAGGAAAAAAGAAAAGTCTAGCTAAGTCTCTTTATAATAACGATAGTTTTTGAACACTGAAGACCCTAATTTATGAGGAGTATAACAAAATAGGAAAAACATGAAGGCCACAGAACTCTAACAGGTGCCGACTTACGAAACAGGGCCATGGCAGTAGCTATGAATGACTTCTAGTAGTCGTGGCGGTGCCACCTCTTTACAGAGGTAGTGATGTGCATCTGTCGTTAGCCGGTAATAACCATCAATCAGGGACACAAAGGAGAGAGCCTCAATTAATGAAAGGAATTCCAGCTCCTGCAGACAGAGAGGCACAAACAAAAGTGTCACAGGAACAGGTTATAGACATTAAGTAACCTCACAGGAAGTTGTTGAAACAGAAACAGCTGGAGAAACTGCACATACTGTAGAAGGTGCACCAGTACAGACCTTAACCCAGTACCAAGACCTCGGAGGCAGTAGTGCTAACTTCCATGTCACAGTGATGCCCAAGTACACACATATTATTCAAAGTTAAGCGCACAATTAGATGCAATTTAATTCAAGGCAAATCTCCAGTTCACATCGTGTTTTTTTGCATTAAGTGACACAAATTGATACACCTGTTTGCACACAGTAAATATTTACTGTACATCTCACCTTTACCTAGCGGTTTTTGAAAAATCAATAAAATAGTGCTACTTCTTTTTTTATTATATCTACATATCTACTATCTACATGTTAAGTGGTACTCCAATTACACAAAAAATCGAATTTACAATGACCCTTTTATACACTAGGACACAACTTCTGGAGAAAATGTAGTGGAAATGTCAAAGAAAAAAACCCCTAACTGTCAAAGTGATATACTGTAGAGCAGTTGCCTGGTGAGACCCGTGTGGTGCATTCATAGTGCACATAATCTAAATAAAACATCTCTTTTGGAAAACATTTGTATATAATGCTAATATTTGCAAATCTATATTATTTTTACAAATTATACTTTCAAAGGATAATTACCGACCATTACCACAATAACACCCATTTTACAATTTCTGTAAAGATAGTTTAGATGACAACAGCCAAGAGGAACAAAAGAAATGGAAGAATGAGCTACATGCTTGGACTGGGGAAGTTCACATGTCTGACAGAAAAAGAGTATGTATATGCATTTCTCATTTTAGTGAGTACTTGTGAGTTAAGTACTTGTTTAATGAGGGATGAGTGTATATTAATATATGAACAATATACAAATTTAAAATGTTTTTTGCACTGTCCTCTATATAAGATTGCTTCTACTGATAAAAGGGTGCCAAGCCTTGCCTTCACTTGAGCCTGCACTGCCAAGCATCACTGTTTATGTTTTCAACTGCTTCATTCAAGCTGTGTTTATAGCTTTATTCTGTTACTGATATCCACTTTAGCATTATTAGACTTGTAGGCAGTAACTGGAAACTCTACTGTCACTGTTTAGAGACTGGACAGACTGGACACTTTGTTCTGGACAGGTATACTAGGACAGACAAGCCATTAAATTTGAGAGTATTTTGTCCAGTACCACTCAAGATGGTAAGTTTCAAAGCCCTTTCAAAATCTTATATGTATTAACTTTTGAACCTATTGAATTTAAATTTAGCAGATTTCAACCACAGGCTGCTGCGCTGCTAGACTTATGTTACCTTTGTTTATGTCCATACCACGTGATCAAGTATTTGGTGAAATGTGTCCATAACATATATATGTGCAAATGGAATACACTGTAACACTGATTCCTGCTGTTTAAAAAGCATTTGACAATTAACTCCAAATATGGTAACTATCTAGTGATCAAATCATTAATATCTGACACGCTTTTGTTCCGGCATATACAGTACCACGATAGTAATGTGGCTGATATTTAATTTCCTCTCATCTTACACTATCTTCATCTTAGCAACCAGTTTACAGATTGTACTAAACTAGGCAGATAACATGAACAAGCAGTGCTGCCTCATATTTTCACCTCACATGTTGCTGTAATAATCTACCCATCCACTGCAGGTCATCTGCTGTTTGGCAAAACACAGCCTCTTGCCTAAACTGTTCCAGTTGAAGGACTGCTCGGCTTATTAGGTCCAGCTGCATGTATAATTCTAGTCAGAAAACAGGTAACTTTTGGATAAAAGTTATCCCCACATAAGATGCAATTTGCTAGATCTTTGTTTTTTATAAAGTATTAATTCAACTTTCTTTCAGTTCTGTCCACCATATGTACATTCTCATTACGTTGCTATAAATGTTGTATGCATCTACTTATGTTGAAAATGATAGAAAAAGTGAAAAACAATAATTTAAAAGCAATTAATTATGAAACCATAAGAAAGAAATATAAATTTCTCAGAATGGAAAACAAGACCTTCTTAAAAATGGCAAAGTACAAACAGCAAGATTGGTAAAATAAGTTAACCACTGTTTGTTTTGGATTTTTTTCTTTCAAAAACCCACACATTTGCAATCATCAGGATTTGCATAATGACCCTCTCTCCAGCACTGGGAGAAGAGGAGCATGCCCATTTTTGTGACATCTGTCATTCTGAAAATGACATGCATCGAGTGGAGAAGCGATACAGATCTCAGCGACAAAACTACAATCTCAAAGGCACCCTGGTAGTCTAATTCATTGCTGTTAGTCAATGCTATGGGATAGACAGATAAATTAGTGTATATTTTATTGGGAACAGCTGGCTTTGTGGTTTCTAACAAACCCAGCTGTGCATCTGTGATGAAGCCTGTAGCAAATCTCTTTGTCAAATACCACCTGTAATGTGCTACAAGACTCTTGAAGTCCTGAGGGGCCATTTTGACCATTCTTTCAGGTAGAATTTGTTTATTAGTTTAAAAACATAATTGCATAATTTTTCTGAAAAAACGTAAACAAGTGACATTTATATGTATACTGTACATGTACACATGCAGTACGTGTTATGTTTCTGATGTAGCTACTGTATTCTAAGTAAACTGTAATAATCTATCATTAATAGAGATTAATAATTCATATTTGAGCTAAATATTGTACTATATGAAAAAGCAGAAAAGCTATAATTACTGCTAATAATACAAATGTAATATGGTCAAAGAAGCTTATTACAAATGTTTAAGATGGCAATTATTTCATTACTGCTTTTAGGTTGTTACAGTTTGGTAAAATCATGTACACTGCAGTATTTTTCAAAAATGTTTTCATTAAAAAATCAAACCTAGTTTTTACATAAATTGAGGTTATTTTCCACAGAATTTAGTAAAATATTTTGCACAACCTGAAGAAATTTCCTGCAAATTCCATCTGAACCTGTTTATAGCCTTTCAATTAAGGGTTCATATACATTGAAAAGGTCAGAGTTTAACAAAACTGTAGGGTTTAAGGAATACTAGGTATGTGCATAGACAACATAATATAAGGAGTATCAATACCAGTGCATATACAGTTATTTAGACTCATACCAGTGTTTTGCCATCCTGTTTGTTGATGGTAACAATTCGACTTTCAGAGGACCCATCTTTGTTGGCTTGCTTGATGCTGATATCAATAACATCAGGGAAATTGCAGTATGTCTGTAAGTCCTAAGGAGAAATTAAAAAGATTTACAGCAAACGTTTGAGTTAGACCATGACAATGCTTTATACACTGCACAATATTACAAATAAAGCATATTTGATATATAGTTACCAATACTATTTCTAAATATATAGTAGAATAAATAGTTTATGTAGTAGTATAATATATACCATAATATATACATATATAGTATACATTAATTATAATATTGATGACAAAACTGAGATTCATGAAGGGACAATATGACAAGAAATGTACATTTAAAGATTGATATCAGCTTTTTTGAAGTTATGAATGAAGAAATTTTCCATAATAACTGTTAGCAAGCATTAAAAGTGTATAAAAACACAGGAATCGTTAAAGATGGAAGGTATAAGTGAAAAGAATACTAAATTCCCAACCACTACTGTTTCACCCAATAGGTGACAGCACTGCAAAACTCAGTCTCTTGCTTTGAGGCATTTGAGGCAGCTGTGATATTTCTAAAGTTTTATTATAACAAATTTATTCTCCTTATAATAATTGGAACTGGACTTATGTCAGCAATTCTCTATGTTTCTCTCTAAATTGCACAGGAAATTCACTTATAATTTTATAGTTTGAAACCACACTACCATCTAAGGAGATCACTTTACTCTGTGTAAACTGAGTATATCAATATAATCAACCAATGAAGTCTTGCAAAAAAAACACTGTAAGTTTATCTACTTCACTAGAAAGAAATCTAATGCTTCATCAGCATCAAGTGTACATAAGAGAAAAAAATAGCTATTTTTGTTAAAACAGATACATAATCAGCACTTCTGGAAAAGCAGAAGGACTTGCACAACAATTCATAAGAAAACAGTAATGCTTATGTGGCAATAATACACTTCAGTTTACCTGATTACAAGGAACAGCCTTTATCCCCATTATGTAACAGTTGAATCAGAAAGATAGCACTTCAGTAAACCTTAAAGTTTAAGAACTTCGCAGTACATTATAAATCCACCCCCCATCCCCCAAAAATAATGAATCAGTGTGACATTTGAAATTCTATCTGCCCATATGCTGATTTCTCCTTTTCAGTAACTGAAAACTCTAGCTTTTTTCTCTTTATATTTGTAGTATAAATTTGGACATATTTGTATTTGAGAGAACATATTTAACTTTAGCTTACAAAGTTTTTATAAGTAATTAATGATGGTGACTACCATAGTTATGCCAAACCTTGCTCATAAAGAAAACCACTGGACATTGTAATTTAACAAAGAAGATTCAGGACAGTTGCACATAAAGGGTGATAGGTAGGCAAGGTAGGTGTTTGACTCAAGAACTTGCCAGAGTTATACTGACAGGACTATTTAGACTGGGGAGAAAGGTTTGTTCACATTCTGGACAGAGCTACTGTGTGACATAACTGAAACAAAAATGATTCTGGTTCTCTAGCTCAACTTTTATTTGTTCCTAAATACAAGTGTCAGGACCCATTAGAAGAGCTGTACCTGTTCAGAAATTGAGCTAGCTTCTTTGTCCTTATTTCTTGACCACTGGATGCCGTTGTTGCCTGCGACGCGGATGGTGACAAGGCCAGCAGAGGGCTCCTTCACTTCAAAGTACTCAGAGTAGAAGGCAGACTGCAGCATCTCCAGGTTAATAAGATACTTCAGCTTGAGATCACGGGCCGCTGCTTTGCACTGGCTGAACTGCTGGATGAAACGGCGGAAGCGATAGCGGATTCGTTTTCGAGTAACAATGTGGTAGTCCTGGATCCTTGCCCTCATGTCCTTGGGCAAAAACGACTTATAGCTTTGGGGGGACAAGAAATAAAATAGTGTTGAAAAAACCAACAATGGTATCACATCATAGAACCTAGCAGCTGATGAATTTGAATTAATCAGATGTTGTTTACATTATATTTTATTTTTCATAAAATAGGAAACAAAAAATGCCTAGAAAATTCCATTCAACAATGAATGTGACCAAACCTTCCAGAGCAATGGACAGCACAGACTATTTGCAATGACGTTTTCACAATCTCACCACAGATAATAACTTGCACAATATTAGAGATATTAAAGGGATCTCATTTTTGTTGCATACTGCAACAAATTATCTTCTGGAAAGAGCAATACTGAAGAAGCTGTACAGACACTGTACAGACTGGCATATTTGGTTATGTAAAAGAGTTCAGATTCATTTTAAGGGATATTTACATCACACGTCTTATGAAATCATTAGCCCCCTTTTAGGGAAGACGAGAGACCTCTTTCTTCTGCTGGTCTTAATTTGGTTTTACCCACACATACGCTCATCACAGTCACTAGAGCTTCTCACTAACTCTTTAGTCTTGATCTTCAGTAATCAGCAGGCACCAAAGTACTCAACTTCATTAATTCCATGTCTTCCACACAAAGCCTATCCTTTCCCTCAAAATGCCACCTCTCACTATCTTACACTTTACTAATCCTAATAATATTATCTAGTAATTTCATTTTCTAACCTCACTGAAGAAGAAATTCAATTGAACACCATATTTTTGTTTCAAATGTTAGAATGCAGGGGTAAAGGTCTTCTTGTCTCACCTCATGGCATTGTAGATATCCAGAGGAGACTGGTCTTTTTCCTTGGCTATCCTCATCATGTCAAGAACTGCCATTCCTAGGCACTCCTCTTGGGTTTCATGGCTGATGGCTATTTTGACCCAACCATCCACAAAATCACTCCGCCACTTAAGAAAGAAGAAAGAATAAGCTATAAGCTTGACAGCTGATACTTTATATGCCAGGTACTTTCAGGAGATTTCACCTCCTAATGGTTTTGACATGTCTTTCTATTTTTACATTAAATAGCAATCCAAAGAGTAGGGACTTTTGCCCTTCAAAACCATATTAAATTTAGAGAAGAAGAAAGCACCCATACTGTACATTTGCCAAACAAATCAATTTCTTATCAATTTCAATCAAACTTATCAAATTAAAATTTTAACTACAATACCACCTTAGGGACATCTTTAAATGTCTTAAATGTTACAGACAAAAATTAATTGGAGGCAGAAATTGAATGCACAGAAAATGTAGTTAAGACAAACATCTGAGAATTAGAGTCTGTAATTCAGTGACACCAGCCAGCCTTGTGGAATGTTCATTGAGTTTTTCTACTTATCCCTATATACACTGGGTTTGAAGTCAACCACTACACAATATGTGTGAAATGAACAAGAAAACTGCATTCCCGTATGCCTTATTTTGGTTCTCTGATCTTCACAATCTTTCTGAAAGGATTACAGCAGACTGTAATGTATTCTAAAAAGAAGCACATGGACAGCAGGAAACTGGTAACCGAGCGTCTGATTAACATGGCTCCAATGTTCTTCTCATCTCTCTTATCATTTTTTTTGGTTTGAAGAGTACCCACAATTGGTCTGGAGAGTATTAAACATAAGCATAGATTTTATCAGATAAGTACCAAATGACCCTTAAATGCTAAAAAATGACATAATGTACTGGTGTTACACAGGGTTGAGTGCTAAGAGGACCTGATCCGAATGGTGTTTATTTCAGGGGGAGTTAATGGATGTGAACTATTTTTGGTCAAATAACTTCTTCAATTTCAGTTACTTTTTTTAGACAGACTTGACTTAAGTCTCAAAAGGCAGGAACTTTTTTACCCTTCTGAACTTTTTACCCTCAAGACCCAGCTGCACTTGTTGACATTTGTGACTTGGGATTCGGCTTGACAAATTACACCGTTTAAGAAGGTGGTAGGTGGAGACCTTAATACATTCCCCCAGAGAGAAATTATCTGCAGCCCAAGTCACCTGACTGTTTGGAGGAACATAACCGGTCAGGTGAAAATTAAAACCTGGAAACGGAGGTTTTTTAAATTGGCTGTTGACATCTGCTCATTAGGAAGAGAGCAGAGCCATGCTATGCAATACACCAGAGGGAGAAGACAGTGAGGAAACAACTGACACACAAGCCTCTGAGCATGAGCATGAGTTTATGGAGAGGGACTTAGAAGTCTAGAGCTTTGAGAGAGGTTTTATGACTGGTTTATTTTTTCTTGTACTGTAAATAAAAGACCATTACTTTTGGTTACCAAGCTCTGCCTATAAAAATGATCTCTGTTGTTGCACACCACCCTTGGGTGTGCCACACCCGATATGAAACTGAAATGTCCATATAGCAAAACTAAAACAAGAGTTTTTCTTCTGTTTTGCTCTAGGGAATCATATACAGTACGTGCTTAATTTGACTAATGCAGGAAGTAATGATGCAACACACTGCCAACAAGTAAGAAACCACAAGCAAGGTGAGTACCCTTCCTACCTGTCAAACACTTAAGGATCCTTATGGAACTTCACGTAAATCAAAAGAAATACTACAACTGTAGGTTTTTCATGAAAACCCTCACAATTACATACGTAGTTTTAAAAGCCAAAACAACTCACACTTATCTCCATCTAGTTAGTTTTTGATCAGAAAATTACTTAAGGGTGGATTATGTAAAGTACTGCAAAACAAGATCATTGCCAGAAGCTAAATATAAAAAAAAACATAGAACAAAAAGAAGGCTCTTGATATATTTCTTGTAGTACATATAGACTGGCAGTACATGAACTTCCTTCTCAATTCCAAGTAGGTTTAATTCCTTTTCCGGGAAACTTTATCTGTGGTATTCATGGCAGAACATCATTAATATAGGAGATTATAAAAACAGTATTTGAACCATTGAATGGTTCTAATGATTGGTTATTATCATAATAAGTGTATGATAATGTATTTTCAAAACCATATTATTCTCAAATATTTGAATGTAAAGCCACTACATATTTTATATCATTTCTAAAAAACAAAAACCAAAGCATTTAAATGGCTTTTTGTAAGCGATTAGCAAGTACATGATGCAAGTTATATTTGTAAATTAAGTAAAACAGCATAGCAAAAAGCAGTCTTTCCCCCAAGGCATACGTCAGATATTTTTATTGCACAATACATACATTTCTAGTCTCCATATCAGTGGCTGGTACACGCAATCAGACAAGCTCTGTCACTCTCCACAGAGAGCTTAGAGGATTGTATCAGGGTTGCTGTCCTTGCCATTGTTTTTACTGCCACTAACCTATCCTGGCAACACTTCAACATGGATGATATCCAGACAACAAATAAATAAACCTGCTGAGGTCAGCCAAAGTTCAAGCTCTGCTAGATCACAGATCAATTAACCCCGTGCTTTTTTGCTTGTTTTAAGGCTAATAACGGAACCCTCTTTGAGGTGTAAGGGAATTGCTATGATATATTTTTTTACTTTTGTCACTTCTATAAAAAAACATATAAATCGTATGTCTGTATTCTGACTGGTGAATGTGTTCTGTGTACAATTGTTATGGTTGTAACAGTCTAACGTTCTTCACAATTTACTATTTTAAGTCACAACACAACAGTGAATGTGAGCACATGATACTGCAGCCCAAGGCCAAAGCTTTAAGACAGATGAAATTGTACTTACAAAACAGAAGTCCAAAGATCACAACTGACAAAAAAAATAAACACAATAAGATTGCACAATGTACATTTTTTAATACATCAGGCAAGTATAAACGTTCAAAACTTTGTAATTTACTCTTTTAATCAGCAGTTGAACAATAACTTGCAAAAATTTAATTTTAAAATAATTGCAATAATGTATGTGACATGGTTATGTTAATAAAAACAGTTACAGTACCCTGTAGTGCTTATTGGTCAGAAATTTTAAAAAATAAATGCCTGTTGGTTATTGAAAATACTACTGAGAGTTTTGTTTTTGAAAAAATCATTCTTAAATCATTAGATCTATAGTTCTATTATAATA